GACAAACCAGATTTTTTCCATGTAGCTTGTGTATAATGTTACACCATCTTCTGAGCAATACTAGTGGGCCTGCTGTATTCAAATATTGCAGTACTGGACATATTTTATAACAAATTATAGCGAAGAAAATGGCGACTTGCCTCGTCAAACCAAGCGACAGCGCGTCCCGTGTATTCTACGACGGAAAATGTGAGGAAAAAGAAAAAGTCGGCGATTTTGGCTGCCGAGGGAGTTATTTTTCTGACTGGTTGCGTGCATTGTGAAATAGTACTTGCGAATCGAGTTTGCGGCATTTTCTTTCTGTCCGCGATGTTCGAGTCTGAACTTGGTGATTTATTCTCGGCGAAGTGGAAATAATCTGCGACAAACATTTCCTTTGCAATCCCAGATCGCTTACAGGCTATTTCGGCACTATGACGAACAAGACATTCGATGTCAAGTTGATACCTGAGTTTGATGGTTCAGTGACCAGACAAGCAGTTACTGAATGGATTGAGAAGGCAGAACTTGTGAGCTATGTGGAATTAAAAAGGTTGAACGTGTTCTTCCTTTGAGGTTGACGGTCGGAGCATTTGCTGTTTACCAGCAGTTAAACGCAGAACAAAAATCAGATGTCAAGCAGATAAAACGAGCCCTGAAGATTGCCTTCGCACCGGATTGTTTCTTGGCTTACGAACAGATTCGCGGAACGCTGACTGCGCCTGGACGAGTCCGTCAACGTGTTTTTAGCCGACTTGAAGAAGCTAGCTGGTCTATTTGGCGGGATATCAGAGCAAGGATTAGCATGTGGGTTCATAGCAGGGTTACCAGCACACATCAAGCAACTACTGTGCGCATCTTCCAGGATGGAAGACATGAATACAAACCAACTGTTGGACCGAGCTCGGGCCATAATGAAAGACCAAATTGCAACTGAAGAAATGGTTGTGGCTACCATTTCACCAGGCGGAGCTGATAAACATCTAAATGTTAAACATTGGGAGAGTATGCGATGTTATTGATGCTCTGGATGGAATCACCTTGCCAGGGACTGCCCGGTTCGAAGAAAAGATGGCCGTCAACCACGCGGGTCATGCACAACAATACGTTGCTTCCGGTGTCAAGAAGTAGGCCACATTGCTTCATTGTGTCCAGAGAAAAGAAGGGGACAAGATGTCAGCGCCGGTCTCTTCCATAAGCGAGTTATAAATGAAGCGTTACCCATCTTAGGTATTTACGTGAACGGAATTAAGAGAGTGGCACTGGTGGACACTGGCTACTCACAGACACTCGTGAGTAAGTCAGCCTGTCAATCCTGGCGGGTGACTGAGGTGAACGTACTCACCGTAAATGGAAATACACTCAAATGTTGCGAAGTTGGAAGTATTAAGCTTGGCGTGGACAACACAAACCCCCTCAAAATCGATGTCTTGGTAGTGGATGGAGAGCTACTGGGTTTTGACTTGTTGCTTGGATTCAACGCCATTAAAAAGTTGGGCGGACTCCAAATAACACAGTGTGGTGATGTACGGTTTCCCAAGCGCGGGATAGTTTGTTACACTGCTATTAAAATAGAAGAACCTGATTTCTGCGCCGAATTCGACCCAATCCGGAAGATATGGATCGCATCATGGAAGTGGTCTGATAGTCAATCACCGAAGAGTTTGAGAAATCGGATGCCCAAATACCCAATACCAACGGGAGTCAATGAGGAATACGACCATGAGCTGCAGACCTGGCTTGAAAACGGTTGGTTGCAGCCTTATCCTGAAAAGGAACTCGGTCCTCCAAAAGGTTTAATTCCGTTGATGGCGGTGGTGCAGAAAAACAAAAATAAGGTGCGGCCAGTATTAGACTATCGAGAACTGAATGAGTGTCTCAACGCACACGCAGCCAATGCTGACGTGTGCGCACAGAAACTGAGGGAGTGGTGTAAAAAAAAAAGGACCGGAAGTCGCTATCCTTGACCTACGGCAGGCCTATTTACAAGTACATATCCAAAAGTCACTTTGGCCCTTTCAAACTGTAATTTTCAAGGGGTGAAGATATTGCTTGACCCGAATGGGTTTCAGGTTGAATGTTGCACCAGCCATAATGAAGGCCATTGTGGACGCTGCATTGGAGAAAGATGAGTCCGTTCGACGAGCAACCTCATCATATATTGATGACATTTATGTTGACGAGAGCATGATTTCAGCAGCTCGCGCGTGAAAGAGCACTTGGCTGCATTTGGTTTGACCTCCAAGAATCTGGAGCGGTTACGGGATGGCACACAAGTGCTGGGTTTACATGTTGCAGAAGATAACAACATGCTTAAGTGGACACGTGAAAATGGCATTCCATCAGTTCCTAAGGTCCTGACACGACATAATGTCTTCTCGTGGTGTGGAAAACTGGTGGGTCACGTTCCTGTGTGTGGGTGGCTTCGTGTTGCTGCATCATTTGTAAAACGCCAGACAGTATCGATCACATCTGGTTGGGACGATGAAGTGACAGATGCTCGCCTTAAGAACATGATTGAGGACATAGCGGAAAGAATACGCCAGAATGACCCTGCGCACGGTAAGTGGTGCACAAGCGGACACGCTTATGAGGTATGGGTCGATTCAAGTTCTCTCGGCACAGGGGTTTCGTTGGAGGTTGACGGAAGCGTTGTAGAAGACGCATGTTGGCTGCGACCTGTGAAAGACGCCCAACATATCAATTTATCAGAATTGGATGCTATTCTGAAGGTCGTCAATTTAGCATTACAGTGGGGCGCAACAGCTCTTCACGGACTCCGCGTGTGTGCACCAGTGGGTATCAAACATGCTCACTGGCAAAGCCAGAATACGAACTAAGGCGGCAAGTGAGATGCTGATCCGGAGGCGATTGAGTACTCTTGAAAAGCTGATTCAAGAGTATAACTTATTGATCATGATAAGATTAGTAACGTCGAGTGAGAATCGAGCGGATAAGCTCACCAGAGTACCGCAATGATGGTATGATGTGATAAAGAGGAAACCGAACCAACACACCTGATATGCACTTCCATGGTGAACAAAACCTCTCCTGATCAGATACGTGTCATACATTGCCAGAGTGGACATCCTGGCATCAGGCGGACGCTATATTTTGTGAGACGAGTCTACCCTACGACATCCAAGGCGGCCGTCAAGGCAGTGGTCAGAAAATGTAAAGAATGCCAGTCAATTGACCCAGCCTCAAGTCGTTGGCCTCATGGTAACCTAAGTGTGATTGAAATTTGGACCCGCTTAGGAATGGACATTACACATTACGGTGGGCAACACTACCTTACGTTAATTGACTGCGGCCCTAGTAGATTTGCGATATGGCAATGCCTGCTTCAACAACACTCAAGAAGTGTCATTCGACAGTTAGAAGGTATTTTTTTTTGAACGAAGCCCACCATCAGAAATCCTGACCGACAATGACACTGCATTTCGCAGTAAGTCCTTTAAAGATTTCTTGGATGACTGGGGAGTCCAACTTCGTTTTCGCTGCGCCTATGTTCCTGCAGCAAACGGGATAGTGGAAAGATCTCATCGGAGCATAAAGCGAATTGCAGCAAGAAAGCAGTGTTCAATAATGGAGGCAGTATACTGGCATAATATCACGCCGAAGGATGATATATCATCGACTAATGCGCCTGCCAATATGATTCACCATTACCAACTGAAAGTAAAGGGAATTACTACGACATTACCACCTGATCGTTTTAAGTATCACGATATATACAAAGTTGGGAACAGAGTATGGGTGTACCTCCAGGTATAAGTGGGTCGCGTGATGGACATTGTAAGTCCACAAACAGTACTAGTTGACGGGATGCCACGGCATGTAAAAGATCTTCGCCTTTTCGTTGATTCTGATACATCGCCGAGCGAATCCTATGATGATTCATCGTCGGACAGTGAGCGGATAATTGAGATCTGCGAATCCGATGCTTCCACAGACACAGAACTTCCGGAAACTCAAGATACATTTGAGTGCCATTACGACGAAACACGAGGATAAAGATAGCGAAGAAAACGGCGACTTGCCTCGTCAAACCAAACGACAGCGCGTTGCGTGTATTCTACAACAGAAAATGTGGGGAAAAAGAAAAAGTCGGCGATTTTGGCTGCCGAGGGAGTTATTTTTCTGACTGGTTGTGTGCATTGTGATTTGTGAAATAGTACTTGCGAATCGAGTTTTCGGCATTTTCTTTCTGTCCGCGATGTTCAAGTCTGAACTTGGTGATTTATTCTCGGCGAAGTGGAAATAATCTGCGACAAACATTTCCTTTGCAATCCCAGATCGCTTACACAAATAAAATGGTCTTCATTCTTTTTTGTATAAAGTTACTCTAAAATGATAAGAAAAACCACTTACCGTAAAATAACTGATATGAAGAAACTCCTCCAGAAAAACATTTACCTGTTATAGGTAACCAGTAAATTATTTGTTGAGGTTTTTTTTAAATGCTTGTTAGGAAGTCAAATAAGTTTAAAAGATAAGTAGGTACAAATAGGTCTATGGAAATTTTAAATTTTGAGTGATTCTGTCTTTGGGATTTTTTTTTTTCCAGTTGTTTCTTCAAGGCAGCAGCTTTATGGAAACATTAAAAGTATTGTTCCTAGGCATAATGTCCTCAGTTAAATTGTTTTTTTTATCGTTGCATCCCAAGCAAGGCAATAATGCCACTAAGATGCAAGAGGTTATTGAGTGTGAAAGAGAATGAGAAAACTTTAATGAAGAGAAAGGACAATAAAAAAAAGAGGACTCAGGCAAACAGAAAATAGCAATTAGGATTGAAAATTTTTTGAAGCATATAGGTGTCAGGGAAACAAGAAACTGGAAAAAGAGTTCCACAGGCAAAAAGTATGAGAAAATAAACATATGGTTGCATCAAGCTAGTTCAACAGTAAAACAGTGAGACAGAGTTACTAATCTGGTAGCACACTTATATACATACAGTTGAGGCACCAAGGAGAAAAGCTCATCAGAACAATGGCTACCAAAAGGAAACAAATACTAACCTTAATTTCAGAAAAAAGTCCAAGAAATCCAGAATTATCTTCAATTCCTAAGGCTGAAAAACAAAAAAAAAATTAATTTTAAATTTCTTCAGATTCATGAAAACACAACTAAAAAAATAAGAAGCTGTGGAGAACCATGATCACCTGCGTCTCGAAGGGACACAGCTCACAGAAAAAGAAGACTGTTTATCCAGATATCAAAGACTACCAGTACTTATATCTAATCTTATTACTTGGGAAGGGGAGTTCATCATAAGCATATAACTGAAATTATTTTATAACTGATTTTTTAAAATTTCTTACAATTCAAATGTATTGAACACTAATCAAGATCTGAAGTAAAGATGCAGCAGTTCAACCTATACAGTAAAGATTCTAGGGTACATAATGAAGGAGGAGGGCTTAGAAAATCTGATACTCATGGGACAGATAGAGGGACAGAGGAAAACAATGCATAACATAGTGAGCTTGAATAAATGAATAGCAGAACAGGGCTTAGGAGAAATAACAGAAAGACAAAAGTTATTAAGAGCTACAAGGGACAGGAAGTTGTGGAGAGCCATGATCGCCTACGACCTGAGGGGACATGACACGTAAAGATCATAAGAAAACTTTCCAAGATTTATTATCAAACTTAACAATAACCATTCTTTTCCCAACTGAAATATGATTTAATTAGATACTTCCACTAATTCGGTATACACAAAGTTTAAAATAAATTTTCATAAATGAAAATTTCTTCTTGAAGCTTTCATTTTAGCTTTAATTGAAAGCTAAAATTAAATTTTCTAATTCCAGAAAGCAAAATACTATGGTGTATTTTGAACAGAAATTAGAATGATTTTAGTCAATTTTTTTTTTTTTTTTAAAATCAGAAAAACCAATTGAAACGGCCATTTTTGACATAAAGTTTCAAATTAAGTTTCCTCTATTATTGCATTTCCATTTTATTATCTCAGTTATTGAATTAAAAAGTTAATAACTGAGATAATATTATAATTAATATAATTATTATATTATCTCAGTTATTAAATTAAAAATGTAATAACTGTGATAATATAATAATAAATTTATTATCTGTTATTAAATTAAAATTATCATATTACTTCAGTTTTTAAATTTTTAATTTAATAACTGAGATAATTAATAAAATACCATCGTAGAGGTACTCAAGAATTCATGAAATGTTATTAATTTAAGAAATTTTTATTTTTTATAGTATTTTAAATTTTATTATATTTTCAGAAAGTATCATCAAACATAAGGTTAAGTACCTACAAAAAAATTCAATAAAATATTAGATAATTGTTTAAAATGTTGTTAATTTTTAAAAATTATCTGGTAATGCTTGTATACATTTTATGCTATAAGTAATATTTGTTTCAGAACAGATTAATTTAACTCGAAATTTGCTAATTTTCCACAAACAAGGTTTCAGAAATATATATTTTATTTTTGCAAGATTTTTAAAACGGTGAATTCACTTTTGTTTACAAATGTCAAAAGATCTTTAAAATATAAATTAATTTATTATTAATTTATATTTTTAAGATCTTATTATATTTTATTCTTTACCAGAAAACAGGCATGAAAATGTCTTACCAGCTCTGTTACACTGTTGACACATCAGAAAACAAAATTTTTAAACCAAATTTTGAATGTGTTAGAAAGGAGTAAAAACTTTTTATAGTAATTAAAAAATACTTTGGTCTTTCCTCTTAATATTAACAAACATTTTGACAATAAAACTTTGCTTATATTAAGTTTTGGGCCTCTTTTCATCATGCTGTACCATTTTTTAGCCAATAATATATAAGTATTTTATGAAGAAGTAAAAATTTTAAAATATACAGGTTATCTCCCCTCAGTAAATAACACCTGCTGATAGAAAGCTGGGTCCATTTATCTAATAAGAATGGGTAAGACTCAAAATTAGGCACCAGATGGAATTTAGGCACCAAAGCTGGGAGGCCTAGACGACGATGAACGGAACAGACAAGAACAGGAGATTCTGACCACAAGCAAACCTGAATAATGCAAGGACAAACAGCTATCAGAAGGATAAGAGCAGCATTGGATAAGTGTTTCAATCAATTTCAAACAGACATGTATTTTAATATCGTCCCCGATGCTATGACGTTTAACCACTAGGAGAATATGTTTTTAGCATTTAGATATTCTCATTGTATAATGTATATTTCTTATATAAAGTTTTTTTTGTAAAATGTTCAATTGTCTTATTTTTTTTTTATCTTAAAGATTATTTTTTTGTATTTTCAAATGTATAAATTAGAACCAAATCGCATGCAGCATTGTGATAAACAACACTTTCAGCAGTGATAATGTGAATACCAAGTCTTCAATTTCTTAATGATAGAAAAATCTTTTCTCAAAAAAAAAAAAATCATCAACTTTTCATATCTCATGTGACCTACTGGTTGAGAAAGCTATCCAATGTCAGACTTAAATTTTAATTCATTACAGTAATCTGGCTTCTATAAGGTTTCTCTGTACTTCAGCAATATTTTAAACCATAGATGACAATGTCTGGCAAGTGATGAAGTACTTGATGACGGGCATTGAAATGTAGTTTATATTAACCACTTTGAGGTGTCTAAACAAATTACCTCAAGGGTTTTCTTACTCTGGCAGCGAATTGTACAGTGATTCAAGATGAATCACAGGTAATGATAAAGACAGTGAAAGCAATAACTGTCCTGAAACAACTGACAAGATATTTCATTTTAAAAAAAAAAAAAGAAAAAAAAAAAGGCCCTTTCTCTTCTAACACTAGTCAAAACGCTGCTACTCTCTATTTTTCATAGCAGATGAGCTACATTCTTTAGTTTCACCAATCCAGATCTTCACAGCTAGGACTCACCATACTACGCACACAGAATTGACTCATTCCCTTTGTATTGCTTAGGAGAAAGCTTCACTCAGGCGACAACTTCTTCCAAAAAATTATTACTTTGTGGAACAGAATTCTGAAAGGAATTTTCCCTCATCACTAAAAGCTTAACCTCTTTAGTTGAGGTTCAGCCATTATCAATCCTACATATCTTTATATGCACCTCTTACCTCCTCCTTGTATGCCCATTTACTAACTCCTTACAACAACCTCATTTGGTGACCCTCTACCTTGAGTGGCTCTCAGGATTGTATTTGATGCAACAATAGCATTTAAACTAATAAAAATAATAATATTAATAGTAGGGAAAGCAATGATTGTCCTGGAACAGCTGATGAGATATTTCATCACACATTGACAATGATAGTATAAGGGGTGTTCAATGACATTTTTTAGTAACTGAAAAAAAAGAAAGAAAGAAGTTCTTTCTATTAGGATGCTGACAAATGGAAAACAAAGCAACAAATTGCTGCATTGAACAGAATTGAGAATCAGAGACGAAAAACATTTGATTCTTGTCCACATTGGCTAGAATGCATAAAGGAAAAAAAAAGTACTTGACAGCAGTTTGTTTCATTAGTGTTTTGAGCTGCATGTTTGGCATACAGGTTTTGTAGAAACATATAGGCATAATAGCAAATAAATAATTACCAATTTTCATTTCTATTAGAAGACGCAAAGCAACACTGTCTTTAAAGTCTGCAGAGAGAGTTCTTAGATTTTTGTAGACCAAGGCAGCTGAATCTGAAACCCCAAAAAATAGAATTACTCATATTTTTATAAAAATTAATTAAATAATCTGTTTATGAATATTTGACGAGACAAGGGTGAGGAATTGCATAGTGGGATCAAGTATAAGAAAGAAGAACAACAGATTCAGATGTAAATAAATAAAAAATAAAAAAAAAATAAAAAAAGATTTATTTACTCAGCATTTGTAGACTTAAATAAATAACAAACAAAAAAAAAAAACTCTAAATTTAAAAACTATATACCTCCCAATAAAAATGATTAACAAAATTGATCGGTTCAGATGTTGAGTTATAAGTTTCGACTTAATTATTTTCAAGAAACTGATATTATTATGCTCTGCCAAACATCTTAAAAGATCATTTTGTTTCCACTGTTATTTTGCGGTCTGAGGTTGGTGGGTTCTTTTCGGACATTATCATCTATGTCAAGATGAAAATTTAGTACTTTCTACATTTATACAAAAAAAAAAAAAAAAAAAAAAACATAATAAAAAATTTACAATTTTCTAAATTTAAAACTACATAAAATAAGTCCTCGCTAAAGGATCCCAGTACAATCATTGAATAAAATTCCCTGAAAAATTCCATTGAAATTTCCGTGATTCCGGGGGGGGGGGCTTTGCTTACAAGGCTGTGATAAACTATGTGAAGTACGTAGCTGTTCCAACTGGAGCGCCCTAGCTAAGAAGTCGAAGAGACAAAGAAGCACACGTAGAATATAAACCTTCTCATCATGTATAATGTAACATTTCTATTCCAAAAATACAAGATGTGGTCAAGTTTATTACTTTCTTGACATTCCAAAGTTCTGCAGTGTTCCTGCCAATGTCACCAAATTCTTTTCTGATGTTCTCTTTCAACTTGAAACCAAGGTTTTAATTGTAATTTCTGACAGTATACTTAAAATTATTATCAAATAAAACTACAGAAACAAAGCTGATGCAGCAATAATAATATTATTAATAATAATACACACCTGTTCTCAATTGAGTGACAAAATTTTCAGAATTGACAATAAGTTCAGGAGGGTTTTCTTTGGGAAGAGGAAAATTCAAGAGTTTGCCTGGGGGTGAGAAAAAAAAAGATATGCAATTTAAAATTTGCTGAAATGGTATAGGAATGGCAGAAAACATTGTTATATATTTATTCATTTTTACTCACTTAGGCTGGCATAATGTCAAAGTATCAGAATATATTCATGATAATTGGTTAATGAAACAATTTTGCTGAACTTAATAGGAGATGATATCAGAATGTTCCCAACTGCATGTACTCAGTATAATTGGTTCTACCATTCATCCATGCATTGAATATTGCTGCCATATCTGGTCTGGTGCAATTGCTATATATCTTGAGATTCTTGGCAAAATCCAAAGAAGAATCTGTAATGTTATCAGTCCTTATTTTACACCTTGACTTCAGTCACTTTCCTCCTTCGACTGCATGAATTTAAGTGTACTACTAGATTGGCAACTAGATATTATTTTTACTGTTAAAATAGCTGAGATCAAACCATAAGTCTTATTCTAATCATTTTTCTTGCACTCTTGTAACCTTCTTAGGGTTTCTTGCTTCCCTGTCACCTACAATATTCAATAATTTAAATGCAATGTCAATCACAATCTTCTGTATACCTGAATCCTATTCTTTTATTGTCCTTTCTCCTCAATAAAGTCTTCTTATTCTCTTCCACCCCAAGTAAGAGCTTACATCTTGGTGGATTTATCACCTTACTTGAGGTGAAATGATTAAAACAAATGTCATATACTGCTAATGTTTATTAGTACCCAACATAGCGAGTCAGTCTGCTATGTACACATAAGGACTGGAAATTAACAATGTCTTATCACCCTGAAGACTATAGAATATTTGCTTAGGATAACTAGTTAGCTTTTTTCCTTGAGGGTGAGGAATGATGCCAGGGAAAATACAAAATTTAATTCAAATTTCATTATATTTATTCTAAAAGTAACTAATTTTTTGGTGTTCTTACTTCTCACTAATAGTGGTGGGTTTTTAATAAATAGAGTATGCACCTATATACCAATTAATTGTAAATAGTTGAAATGTACTAATATCCTTTATATAGAAAACTAATGCATACAGCACAATACATAAACTTAGGTACCTCCACGAAATCGCTAAAAAAAGAGCATAGCTTGATGAAAAAGACGCCAACCTTGCCGAAAACAAAGTTTTATTGTCTAAATGCTTATGTTATTATTTAGAGGAAAGACCAAAGTTTTTTTTAAATTATTTTAAAAAATTTTCCTTCTTTTAGAAAATTCTAAATTTTGATTAAAAAACCTTGTTTCTATTTGTATCAGCGGAACTAGTAAATAACATAGACAATTTTTAGCACGTTTTTTTTGGTATGACACACATTAATTTGAAAAATCGTGCAAAAATAGAAATAATTATCGGATGTTAATGAAACTTTCAGGAACTATTCACAGATGATCGAAATTATTATAAATATGTTTTTTTTTATGAAAGTCATGGTAGAAATATTTTTTAAAAATATTTATTACCCCACCCCCCTAACTAATTTTATGAAAACGCTAGAAATTCGATCGCATCGGTTTTAGTGATTACAATAATTAAAAGCACAGGGCTTTGAGGAATGCAAATCATGTTTTTTTTTGTTTTTTAATTGGATACCCAGTACCTGAAAATCAGCTCTGAATTGTAACATACAAAACTCAATAAAACAAAGATATTATTTAATTTCAAATGCTTTTATTTGCTTTTAGTTGTTTTTTATGAATATGGACAATATTTTCTGAAAGCAAAAAAATTTTTCGATGAAAATGAATTTTTTAATACAATTATTTGTTATTTCATTAATTATAATAGATTTTACATTTAAGTTGTTAAAATATTATAAAATTAGATAAAAGCCGACAGGCTTTCATAAGTGTCCTTATGAGATAGATCTTTTTTTAGCGCGTTGTAAATTGTATCATTTTGACTAATCAGAAGAACCCCAGTAATTAAGAAATGTAATTTTGTGCTTATAATCGAGCTGTAATTATAAAATACGGAAGACCAACCAGAATATAATTAAGTTGCGTTATTTGAGTTAAGCATTGTTCTCCGCTGTTAAGGCCTTTACTTTTTGCGAAACACGTGTGGAGAAGTTAATTTGATTTTTCAATTTCAACTGAGAAGGTTACCTACAAGTATCAGTATCATCTTATGAAATTTATATGATCTTATTTTTTATATTAATTTCAGTTACGACATTTTTTCCATAAATGAAATATCAAAATTAATAATAAAATGAATGCAAATACAAATAACAATAGAATGTAATAAATGTACATAAAATTATAGTATTTTATGTACAATTCTGATAAAATTTCATAAGAAAGGTACCTATAAATTAATTAGATACCTTTCTTAAGAAATATGAAATTTAATGTCACTCTTAACAGTTTTATTTTAATTTCTTTAGAATATATTTCCCATAAAGCATCATAAACGTAAAGGTGAAAGCTAGTACAAAAAAAAAAAAAAAATTAGACCGCTGAAAGTTTTCGTTAAAAATAACGGGGTAAATAATTTGTTCACGTAAATGTAAATTATTTCACTTTTCTCCTTCCGTAGAACAAATTAGCCTCACAGAATCCATCAATATGTCATTCATCACATGTCAAGTGACGCGAAAGTTTATGACCTGCTTTGTTTTATTTTCAAATTACATCTTTTTGGCACAAAAGCTAAGTTAAGCTTGGTTCAAAAATATTTTAAATAAACATTATAATTTCTGATTTTCTTAAAATAAGTTTTGAAAAAATGATAATTGATATTTAAAAAATTTCAAAGTCAGATTTCCAGTTTTTTTTAAAATGGAAAAAAAATGGTCAATTTTGCTGACTCAAAAAAAAAAACTAGATTTTTAACAAAAATTTCGGACGTGCTAGGAACGATTAAAAATGAAAAAAAATACCCCAAAAAAATACTTTGACCTTTCCTCTTAATGAATAACAAACATTTAGGCGATAAAATTTTTTTTTCGTCAAGTTTGGCGTCTTTTTTCATCATGCTATGCTCTTTTTTAGCGATCTCGTGGAGGTACCTACATAAACTAAATTAGGGACACTTTGACATGGTGTAATGATTAGTAAGGTTGTCTTGCTAGATCAATTACAACTGTGTACTTAGTTCGATCGTCCCTGGGAGCTTCACACTTTCAGCTTTGTCACATCTAAGCTATGCTTAGAAAATCATTAGGGCACTTCGACATGATGTAATGGTTGCAAGCTCTCACTATATCAATTCCAACTGAGTAGCGAGTTCAATCCTCACTGGGTGCTCCATACTTTCCATCTTGTGCCACATCTAAGCTCCACTTAGAAAATCACTTTAGGCAATTCAATGTGATGTAATGGTTCACTAGATCAATTCCAACTGAGTAGTGAAGTCAATGCTCATTTGGTGCCCCATACTTTTGGCCTTGTGCCACATCTAAGCTACACTTAGAAAATTATAATAAAAGTTACTCTCAGCATGAAAATTAATAAGATATCCATGTATAATTATTTCAGGTGATTTGATTGAAATATTTAAAGAAAATAAAAAATATAAGAATATAATTATAAAAATTATGGTAAAATTTAACTACTGTATTTTCTTGTGTATAATACAACCCCGTTCAGATATCACTATGTAAATTCTTTTTGAAAAGTTGTACCATATTACCAATTAAAATCTCAGTGTTGTGTGTGTGTATATATATATATATATATATATATATATATATATATATTATATATTTTACACACACATTTATTTCACTAAAATATTTAATTTTTCAGGATATTAAAGATTAGAAATGAACTGCATGATTAGTCACTGCATATTTCTCCTCTTAACTTCCATTTTCAAAACTTATTTTCAGGGAAAGGTGTATGTGTACATGCATAAAATTTTTTTTTATTTTAACTTTAATAAAAAACATTTCATTGAACAGATCTTCTCTACAGCAAAGGTTCTGAATCTTCTAACATCAGACCTCTTCGGTCAGCTTACCCAACCAATCAGGTAACCCACACCTCAAACAAAAAAAAAAACAAACACCATCACTGGTAACTTTCATTCCTTTAAAAACTATATTTAGAATTTTAATAAAACGCAAAAATATCAAACTGGATTTATACACACTATTTACATTATTCAGACTATTGTCCTCATATTTATTACATTTCCGCCATTGTATGCTCTGGCCTTCTTCAGGTGGTTGGAATGTCAAACTAAACCCTTTATATAACTCACTGGGGTAGACTGTTCTAGTTCCACGTGCCATGTTTAATGAATGTCAGTTGTTAGTTATCTCCTGTTAAATCCCCTCTGCAAGTTTTCCACTGACTTAATCAGGTATTGAACTCACACTCTTTGGGTCCTGTCACTGGATCTAACCAATGCCTTTATCCACTGTGCCATGTGTCCTTGTAATAAATATGGTGACCAAGATGAGGACTATAGTCCAAATAATGTAAATAGTCTACATAATACCTCATCTCAGAAATATAGACAGATACTGATTGATTTATACATTTTGTTTCTCGAGAATTGCCAACAAAAATATTAAACACTATTTCTTTTTCATGAATAAATTTATATTTGTAAGGTTATATGAAACTGTTTAAAACAATAAAACAAGCTGTGAGAGTATACAGTAATAGCAGCATCAAGAAAAAAAAAACATCCTTTTAACACACCATCCTTTTTGTGGGTACATTTGTTAAAATTTGCCTGAATTATTATTATTATTATGCTGCATAAATAAAGAAAGCAATAATAGTACCAGGACAGGACTTACCCTGAATAACCAACATTTTAAGCATTGGGATACAGATAAGCATGGCAGCCACTCCTTCAGCTTCTGGGTGGATGTAGAAAAGCCTATAAAATGAGTGACTTCTTTGAATGGTGAAGATCTCACTCAGATTTGCTGGGACATTTTCAGGGCTACTGCTTTCAGCAACTATCACATTCTGTAAAAAAAAAAAAAAAAAAGTAAAACAGAGAATCATTTTCATTTTGTTACTCAAGATTTAGAGAATCAATCCGTAAACTTTGATTTATCTAGAATAGTGTCTAAATGATATCACCTTAAATAGTATTTACCAGAATGATATAATCTTCTAGAGGATATCAGACAGAAAGAGATAAGAAAAATATATGACAAGAAGACATTCTGCAACAGAGAGTAATTCAATGTACTATGAAGTCACACATGCAAGATGTTAGCTAATATTGGTTATCCCCAGTAACCAATTCTGATTACTATTTACATTATTCGGACTATTGTCCTCATCTTTGTCGCCATATTTATGACATTTTTTACCATATAGGAACCAGTAATAAGGAGTGCCAGAGAAAAGTGATAATAACAAAAATTGCAATATGAGCTCTGGTAAAAACATCTAATAAGAGCAAAAATTGCAATATGACAACTGGTAAAAAAATGATTGCTGAGACATTACGTTTATAATACCCAGAAATTCATACACAGATGTCCTCAAGGACACAGTGGGTAAAGGCATTAGTTAGATCCAGTGGCAGGACCCAAAGAGTGTGAGTTCAATACCCGGTTAAGGCAGGAGATAACTGATACCCATTAAACATTGCACAAACTACCTTACCTGGAAGTGAGCGAAATAAAAGGTTCAGTTCGACGTTCCAACCACCTGAAAAGGGTCAGAGTGTACAACAGCCAAAACGTTGTAATAAATATGGCGACAAAGATGAGAAAAATAGTCCGAATAATGTAAATAGTGTACATAATACCTCATCTCAGAAATATAGACAGATACTGAGATTCTGATTAGTAGCAGATTAAAATGAACTCAATCCTGGAACTTGATATAATATTTTGAGATCTCTACATCTCACTCCAAAATCTGAGCTTCATGGAAGAAAGGGAATATTGCACATGTGGTAGGATCATCAGGGTATTATTCATTTAGAGTTCTTAAAACACAACTAAATGCACATGTATATGTCCAACATGTCCACAGAAATTTGATTGAAAAGCTTGTCAATTGGAAAAATGTTGTGATTCTCCATGACAACGCAAGTCTGCATATAACAATAATAACCCAAAATGAAATTTTGGAACTGTTGGTTTGTTCTAACCCACCCACCATATTCACCTGACCTTATAGCAACCAGTTATTACCCTTTTTGTTTTTGATGATCAGTGCAAAATGATTTGATGGGGAAAATTTTCCCTAATGAAAACCAGACTCAAGGGTTTGGCAAAAGCCTTTTCTAATCAAAACCTGCACAATTTAACTTGAAAGGTATCAAAAAAAGCTGCCTGATAAGTGACAAAAAAATCATTGCAAGTAATTGTGAATATATAATTGAATGAAATGTAATTGTACTTTTATTTTTTTTCAAGAATGCAACTGAGAAAAGGGAAATGATTTATGACACCAGCTAATAGCTCCTTTTCCAATTGTTTTGTCAGTATCACAGACATATATGGCTATGGCTCGGAAGAAGTCTCATATCATTTTATTCAGTAAAGCAGATTTCCAGACTACTGAAAGAATGGTTCATTGCAGCCCAAGATTTGCAATAGGAATGTTTACATCACTTTTATTGAAAGAGATGTTACTTCCAAGACAGAGGAACTATAGATGTATTGAGAAGTCACATGACTTAAATATATATTTTTAAATAAAAATAAAAAAGACAATTAGTAAAAAAAAAAAAGTTTTTATCGTCATATTAATCACGACTTGAACATATGAATAAATTATCCTTGCTCAAAGTTTTCGTGGGTGAGCTCTACTTTACCATGGTTAGCGAGCTAGTCTTGCAGACCATTAGTACATAGTTCGATCCTTGCTATCAGCCTTGCAACAAAGCAATGCTTAATAAAGAAACCAATTAATCAAAAGTGAAACCACAGGGAAATATTGCAAACTTACTGTTGCAAATTGAAACCCAGATTCAAGCAGGAGTTGGTGTAAGGCAACAATAACTATCTCATGAGACATTGCAGCAGCAGAAGAGGAGAGCAGCATCTGCAGCTGCTCAGGTACTTGATTGCTGGTTGACTCATAACAGAATAGCATTTTGGTCATGTAGGGACTGATGCTGCTAAAGTCCACGGGCCCTTGTGGTCGCAATTTGGAGGCTTCTTTTGGACACTCAGACATGTTTCTCTCCTGTAAAAAAAAAAAAATAAATAAATAAAATGTTGCAGATAAAGTATGGGGAAAAAAAAGGGAGAGGTGGACATGAATGAGTTCATATTTATTTACTAATTTTATGCATGAATACTAGACAGTCGCCTCGCAGATGAAGAAGAGACTTGAAGCAACAGAAATATGATTCTACAGAAAGATGATGAGAATAACATGGACTGAACATGTGAGCAGGAACAAAGTTCTAGAGACAATGGAAACAAAAAGAAAACTTATACTTAACATCAAGAAGAGGTAGTTTAAATTTTTAGGTCACATAATGAGGAATGAGGCTTGGAAGATCTGATAGTCAAAGGACAGATTGAAGGTAAGGGAGACAGTGGAAAACAATGCATAACTTACATGGTGAACTTGAATGAATGGATGGCAGGATTTGGGAGAGATAGCTAAAATTTATTAAGAGCCACAAATGACATGAAGCTGTGAATAATCCTGAAGCAACATGGCACATAGAATATTTTTTAGGCGGCAAAGTTTGCAATAGAACTGTACTGTTGCATCTGCTTCAGCCAACTCTATTGCCTTGTTTATGAATAGCTTCACTACATCAGACACAGGACTACAGTGACCTTGATTATTTAACCATGCTTTCAACTTCTGTGAATTCAGTCAACCCAGTGAAAAACAATTCATGTTTTATTGGTGGAGTTGTACAATAGGTACCGCAACCAGAAACAATGTTTTTTTTTGTTTGTTTTTTTTTTATTATTACTATAGATGAAATACTTCAAATCACAAATATCAAAAGAAAGAATATTTTTAAAGATTTTATAAAATAGTAAGAGGAGGTCCAGTTTGCTATCCAAATTCATTGTAAATTGATTCCCCATTACACAAGCCAAAGCAAATATGCTCATATGTGATTGCTTAAAGTTAAAAAATGTTTTAAAACTTTCTGAAATTCATAAGCTGGAGTACTTAATCGATAATAGTATATGAAAAGAAGAACTCCAGATTACAAATTTCAAATAAAAATCTTTCGTTTCTTTACATTTTAATAAATCATTTATTTTTTATTTTTTGGCTTGCACGGGGAGATAAATTTACAAGGAATTTACATAGGAAACTGGACCCCCTATTAACTTTTAAAATTTAAAGAAAAAAATTTTTTTTGATATCCACAATCTTTAATGCTTAATCTAAAGTAATACAAAAAAAAACCAAAAAAAAAAAAACCACATAATATATATATATATATATATATATATTTATTTATTTGAAGTAGTAAAATTTCTCAAAATGCAAAAATTCAGATGATTCAAGGAGAGGTGAAAAAAACTTTTTTTATAGTTTGTTTTTTAATCATTTCACTCCAAGCAAGGCAGGAATGCCACTAGTACACAGTGGGTTACAGGGAGTGAAAGTGAGAGAAAAGACTTAGTATAGATTGAGGAAAGGACAAAAGATGATCAGCATTCAAGAAGACAGAAAATGGCAATTGCTATTGCACTTAAACATTTGAAGATTGTCGTTATCAAAGAAGCAAGTAAACAGAAGGATAGTTCCACAGCAGGAAATGCAAGAAAAGAAACTGATGGAGTAGAAGTGGCAGTTGCATTTAACTATTTCAATGGTAAATAGGTGAGACCGAGATGATAATCTTGTAGCACACTTAAATTCTAAATTCATGTAGTGAGGGCGCCAAGGGAGAAAAAAGCAGTTGCCATGAAAATATTTGTAAAAAAAAAAAGTCAGAGGGAAGCCATGCCACAATGGTGAGAAAATTACTGAAGTCAAGATGCCAAGTCAGGATTGATTACATTACAGATCATTCTTTGGATTTACTTTAAATAAAAAGGTAAAAGTTCTTGTCTTAGTGAAAATTTTTTTTTTAGATATGCTGAGGTTACTAAGGCATCTTCTAGTTGTCATATAATTTTTATTATAGTATACTGTTACAATTATATTTTATAGGGGGTCCTCAACTTATGACAGAGTTCTTGAACACAATTTTTCATGAATAAACTCTTATGTCACCCACCTATGCTAAATGCAATAGTAAAGTAATAATCGAGAGCATAACACATTTCTATATTCTTGCACTGCAAAGTATGTACGAGGCAAACAGCATAAGTTGAAACAAGATTAATGGAGACTGTGTTGTAACCATGAATTGTCATAGGTCAGGATTGTCTTAACCCAAAGACTTTCTGTATTGTTATAATTATCTGGTTTCATTATTCATAAACATGTTGATAGTGTCTAATATATCAAAATTATATTCAGTCACATTACAAGGGTTTCTACCATAAATTAGTACTACTTGCCACATGGTGAAAAGATCAATGGATTGATTTGTTTAATGTCATATCAAGTCCCTATGGGTTATTTAATGCAAAGATTTAATTTTCTTGAGAGTTCTCAAGTAATTTCATAATTTTACTATAAATAGGTATTGTTGGTCATTTTACTATAAATATTTATTGTTGGTGTGGGGTCAGTCTACCCAGATTTCAGGTGGAAAATAAAATTTGAGTGTCATGCCCACAAATATAACAGAAAATTAAACAACACAAAGAAATGATATTCCCAGAAAAAGAAGACCAAGCTAAATATAACAATAGCATTTATACAGGCAGAAAAATCATCACTGACTGATGCATCATCATGGTAACATGTGTCTATGCTGTTGATCAAGGTGAAAGCACATCACATGACTTGTCCTATCCAATCAAGTTCTAGAAACCAATTTGGAGCTCTGTTTGTACAGAATTGTAAAAAAGTTTTCATATTTACTGAATTTAGTAAAATTTATTTGTCAGCATCTCTTGTTTGTGCTTCAGATATTGGCCATAAAATATAGAAGTTTATATCCTATTTTTGTAAAATTTTTTTATATCTGGTATTTTTACTATAAAAATGTATTTTTATATTTTCATAGTGTTTTCTTCTTGTTTGGAGGTTCACTATTTGCTCATAGCTGGGACCCTAGCAGGTGCTACCACCCCAAGTCAGGGTGGACTTGGGAACAAACATGTCTATGTCTAAGGCAAGCCTTCAACATGAAGGACATCAGCTGTAGTTTGAGAGGGATGGTCTCCACCAGGCCTAATTGCCTCAGACACATGCCTGAAACAACAGTTACTAATAAATCTTATTTATACTACTTTTTCAGGCATCAGCTGGGGATTTTGAAACATATGTCCCATGGATAAGGGTAAAAAACCCTACAATATAATTTTTCTCTATTGCTTGAAGTTTCTTAAATCTATTGGTTTTAGAGAAACCTTTGATAACATGAAATAAAACTTGTTTATTTACATCCCCCCCACCACCAACACACGTGTATTACAATGTATAATAGTACACTGTTGTTGTAAAGCAACTACTCAACTGATAGTAGCAGATAGAAGACGTGAGGAGGGTAAACGACAAAATAGTGTCACACGTCCAACCTTCTCACAAAAAAAAAAAAAAAACCCAGTGCCCGGAAGCAAAAACGTGCCTGTATTATACAGCCGAGGATCGACCATAATTTGCATGCAAATGACGAGACAACGAGATTTCGTGTTAACTGTCCGAGACAACCTGGCATAAAACATGGGCACCACCATATTGTTTTTTTTTTACCGTTGAGCAGCCAGAGTTTGCACAACGCACAGATTTGTGGGCGTTTCCAAGGTAGACCATTTTCACAATTTTCCCCACACCACCCCCGATCTCATGATCGCAAACAGGGCAGGGAAGTGGCGATCGTCGCCATCAAGTGCCCCTCCGAAGAGGGACAACACAAGCTTCATCCTCATGCATACTCTCATCTGTGGTTTGAGTATTGATAAACACCGTGTCCGCCTGACAATCCATCAGGAACATCCAGTGTCGAAGAGTGCCGAACATCGTTTACCCTCAATGCTCACATTGACAACAGGCATTTACTGACCAAGAGGGGGGCAAGGGTTACGACAACACCATGTCCGCGGACTCGTTTCCCGAGCAATCCTGTGCTGCATGGCCTAACTCATTGCAGTGATAGCAGTGTAGTCGTGCTCGTGTCTGTCGGCTACTCCCACCTTCTACGTCACTTCAGCTCCGGCAGTCTCTAGAGAAATGGTTTGGTCCACCACACTTGTAGCACTTTGGGCCCTCCCATAGTGTCTCGGGTGTGTTTGTTTTTTTTTACTGTTGAGCAGCCGGAGTTTGCACGAAGCACAGATTCGTGGGCATTTCCAAGGTAGGCCATTTTCACAATTTTCCCCACATACACGAAACAGAAGTGAAAATGGAGGAGACAAAGTGGAAAATTTATTAATGGCACAATATGCTGTCTTTGGCTTCCCTGGGTTAGTTTTTTTGTAGAAATGGACTGAAAGCAGGAGATCCTTGTATTTACCGATTATATATTGTTTTGACTTCGCATTTTCCGTGTATAATAGTTATCCGAAGCAGAAGTGAAGATAATGAGACAAAGAAAATAATACTTAATCAATAAATACAAAGATCTCTTGCTTTTGGCTGATTTGTATATATATATAAAAAAAATTTAACCTCAGGAAGTCAAAGAGAACAAATGCTCTCTGGCAAAACGTGTCAGTGATAAATTTTCTACTTTGCCTCAGACACTTTACATCCTATCAACATGGAAAAATGCAAAGACAAAACAGTACTTAATCACACACACTTTTATAAATTTGTATATATTTTGTCTGTGTTCCCATCTTACATCAGTAGAAGAAAGCATTTCTATATCAGCTATATATATATATATATATATATATATACACACACACAAGTCAATGCCATTAAACTGCACACCATTAAACCACAATGTTGCTTAAGTTGCACATGCACAATGGAACCCCAAAACATTTTTGTTATGTTCATATTAGAATCATAATCATCAGAAGATCCCAATTTGAAACAAATTCAAACTTGATTCTGTCACTTTTTAAAGTCTGATTTTTTTCTGTATAATCTTTTATTTTAATAAATTCATTAAATTGTGTTTTAATACCTTCAGTATA